TTTCATAACTTTATTTTAAATGGAGGATATACCTGAGTATCTGTCACTTAAGAATTCATGAAGGAAAGTTATTTCTCAGAATTATACACTCCTCTTGTTTGCACAGCCATGTTTTCTGCAGGTGGCAGGTTATGAGAAGCCCATGTTTATCTGAAGAACTGTCCTCATGCCTTTGATGTTAAGTGTTTTATGTTTGGTATATGTCTAACTCATGTTTCTAGAACCAAAGACAGCCCTTTTTCCTTTACAGAATCACAGAATCGCAATGGTTGGAAGGGACCTCAGGAGATCATCTAGTCCAACCCCCCTGCTAAAGCAGGTTCTCCTAGAGCACGTTACACAGGACTTCATCCAGGCGGGCTTTGAATATCTCCAGCGAAGGAGACTCCACGACCCCCCTGGGCAGCCTGTTCCAGTGCTCCGTCACCCTCAGAGTAAAGAAGTTTTTCCTCATATTCAACTGAAACTTCTTATGTTTCAGTTTGTACCCATTGCCTCTTGTCCTGTCGCTGGACACCACTGCAAAGAGTCTGGCTCCATCCTCCTGGCTTCCATCCTTAAGATATTTGTATGTATTGATGAGGTCCCCTCTCAGTCTTCTCTGCTTCAGGCTGAACAAGCCCAACTCTCTCAGCTTTTCCTCGTAGGGGAGATGCTCCAGTCCCTTTATCATCCTAGTTGCTCTCCTCTGGACTCTTTCTAGGAGTTCCTCATCTTTCTTGAACTGGGGAGCCCAGAGCTGGACACAGTACTCTAGGTGGGGGTCTCAGCAGGGCAGAGTAGCTGATATATATTTTATATCTTCCTCTACCTCTTTCTTCTATCATGACTTACCTACTCGTATTTCAGCGCTGTTTGTTACTTACTTTTTTATAACAAACATCCTATGCAAATTTTACTATATTAGTACAGGCTGGATTTGCTACATAATGTTGGTCACACTTGAAATGTATTCCATAAAGCTGTTTGTCTTGATATGTTTCAAACTTCTTGACCAACTTCTCATTTAGTTCTTTCACAATGTTTGTTTTTAACTAGCAATCCATCCAGTTTTTGACTTCTCTGGAAAAAAAAATTATGGAGCTCAACAAACTTCCCTCTGTTCTGATGTTAAGGTAGTTACTGTAGTACCTAGCTAAGAGTTCATTATTCCAGGAGGTATTTGCAAAGCCTCACCTGCTGTGTATAACCACAGGCTTCCAAACTGAGTTTAATCTACATATACAAACTACTCCAGTGGGTGTCTAGAGTAGATCATATCACTACAGAATGGTTTGGGTTGGAAGGGACTTTTAAAGACCATCTAGTCCAATGCCCCTGCCATGGGCAGGGACATCTTCAATTAGATTAGGTTGCTCAAAGCCCCATCCAACCTGACCTTGAACACTTCCAATGGTGGGGCATCCACAACTTCATTGGGCAACCTGTTCCAGTGTCTCACCACCCTCATCATAGAAAATTTCCTCCTTATGTCCAATCTACGCTCTTTTAGTTTAAAACCATTGTCCCCTGTAGTGTCACTAGAGGCTTTGGTAAAAAGTCTGTCTTTGTTTTGGTTTTTTTTTTTTTTTTTTTTTTTGTAAGCCCCCTTTACATACTGAAAGGCTGCAATCACGTCTCCCTGGAGCCTTCTCTTCTCCAGACTGAACAACCCCAACTCTCTCAGCCTTTCTTCACAGAAGAGGTGCTCCAACCCGCTGACCGTTTTTGTGGCCTCCTCTGGACCTGCTCCAACAGGTCCACGTCTTTCCTGTGCTGGGTACCCCAGAGCTGGATGTGGTACTGCAGGTGAGGTCTCACCAGAGCAGAGTAGAGGGGTAGGATCACCTCCCGTGACCTGCTGGCCATGCTGCTTTTGATGCAGCCCAGGGTATGGTTGGCCGCCTGGGCTGCAAGCACATGTTGCTGGCTCACATCCAATTTTTCATGCACCAGTACCCTCAAGTCCTTTTCTGCAGGGCTGTTCTCAATCCATTCATCGGGGTTGCCCCAACCCAGGTGCAGGACCTTGCATTTGGCCTTGCTGAACTTCATGAGGTTAAGATGACACTGGTGATGGACATGCCAAACCAGCTGCTGATTCTTGCTTCACCTTAGGGGGGGTGGTGGTGGTGTAAGGGGTGTGTTTTTCTGTAAAACTGATGGTCCCCTCTGAAGTGAGTGCTAAAGAAGTAATGGAATTGTAAACTTCACCATGTCTCAAATGAAAGTGTTTATGAAAATGACATTATTAAAGCAACTTAAACTGTGACATCTTCATGATTTTTATTATTTGTGTACCTCTACAGTAACATGTGGGATTAAAGTGCCCTTGATTTCTAAGAGGCAGTGGGATTCCTTTCACTCTGCAGTGTTAGTTGCATATGCATTTTTTTCAGGGCTATGCAGAACATGTTTAAGCTTCTACTGGTATAAAATGCTGTGGGAGGTAAACTTGCAGCCAGGATGTGCATCCAACTAGTACTCTACTTGTCTTAGGCCAGTGTTATTTTATATATACTTTTGAGAAGTCAGTAACTGTATGAATGTAATATAAGCCCTTTGTCTGCATAGGATTGGGTTGCCGTTTGCTTACAAATCAGTTGAGGAAACAAAGTTGTTATCCTCTATTGATTTGGTCTTCTTCAGCATGTGCTCTAATGCTCTCTGTAGGCTTGCTGCCCATGACTAGTCAAGAATTTGCCAGCCAGGATTGTTAGATTAGCTGCTGTCAGGTATTTGATAGTTTGGTGTACGTGAAGCATCTACAATGCAGGAATTCAGGAGAGCTGCATAATGCATCTGATTTTAATATCAAATGGATATTAATCTGAATTTCCACTGAAGTGATGGTAAGTGTGTTTTAGATGAATGTCATTCCTCCTGTAGAATGAATCTGAAGGTGTTCAGATGTTTGTTTAGCTTACTCTTTAATAGGACTCTGTTTTCATAGGTTTTGGGGTTGAAGTTTGGGGAACCATGGGACTCTTAACAGGGACAGATTTGTTGTATGAATTATAGAAAGTGGCCTTCCTTTAGAGCTTGTGGCTTAGGTACAAGTTGGAGAAATAGGACGTATTTAAGAAGGCAGTGGGCAGACAATGCATTTCTGTAGTGATGTTTTGTACCAGAACAAAATACTCTCCCATTCCCTTAGCAGTTCTTCAATAGGGCAGCACTGTTTAATGGGATAGTTCTTAGCTTTTTCTGGATTTTTTTTTTTTTTTTGGTGCAAAGTGCTCTATGAAGTATTGACATTTTCCATTGCAAAGAGTTTAACACTGCAAACTTAACTAGCCCAGCTCCTGGCATTTGAAGCCAGTCCCAGTAAGGTGTTAAAAAGCACCACTATTCATTTTCCCAGAAATATGACTCAGTGATATCTGAAGGGTAAGCCTTGGGCATTGGTCAAATTATGAAGCAGAACAGTTCCTACACTGCTGTCTGCTCTGTCCTTGGATCCGATGTGAGCATTACAGGTGCAGCTTCTATGCTGTTGTTCTACCATAGGCTTGACTGGTAGGAGAATGTATGAGTGAATGATGATTTCAGGTTTTTTTGAGGAACGGGCAAAACCATCTGTGATTAAGCTGATACAGCTGAGGTGTTCAAACTCTTAAGCAATTCATGTAATTCTGAGATTCTCTTGGCAGACATCTTTGAGCTTCTGGGGATGTGGCTTACAATGCAGTTCTGTGAGCATTTTAAACCACACTGCTGCTGAAAGGAGCACTTCTGGCCAACTTTCTCTCTCTAGTCTGTACCCTTTCCCTTTTGCCACCAAAAGTATTCATACAGCTATGCAATGAACGGGACTGGGCAACTAGTTATGAGGAAAGCTAAAACAACAAGCATCACCTTCTCCACAACTCAGGTTTAACCCACATCAGGTAATTCATTGCAAAAATGAGAGGGAGGCAAGGACAGACAGGACTATCTTTGCTGGCAACAATGATGGCTTTTAAGCTGGTTTAGTACGTTTGAAACTACAGAGTTCAAATTCTGTCCTGCATCTCATTAGAAAATGGTTGTCTTACCAAAAACGTAAAGCTCCTATACTCTTTGTAATGTAATTTGTAATTAGTTAATTCTGAGTGGCAGGTTTGCACACTATTTTTGTGTTTATTTAGTGCCTCGGTGGAGAAGCTATTTCTGCAGTCCTGCCTTTCTTTTTGGGTGTTTCCTCATGTTTGGTGTTTTGGGCAAATCTTCTCTCTCCTGCAGCCTGCATGCAGCTGATCTCTGGTCAGTGTAGTCCAAGAAGGAAAGTATAGCACGATGTAGTACCGGGCAGAAAAGCCAATACAAGATATGGACTTCAGAATAAGAATGTCCTCACAATTTATTTTACTGATAACTTGCATCTAAATGGCAGCCTTTTTCTAAATTCTAGAAAATGTGTAATTGTGGATGTTGAAGTTATGACTACAGTGGATATTTTAATGGGGAGGAGGGCTTGAAAACTTCAGATTATTTCTAAAAGACGAACGGTGGTTCTTTTTGTGTAAAGACTGTGCTACTGCTCGTTCTTTCTTAAAGCCTGCCTTAATCAATTGGATAAAACATAATTTATAAAGGCGTATTCAGTAAAAAGAGCCAAAGCTCCCAAATCCTACTTGATGAGTGTGTTTAGTTACCTGGCAGCACAAAAATTTTGTAAAATTTCCAATGCTGGCAAACCCAAAATGATGTTGATATGCCTACTATTGGACTGCTCAACTTTTACTGTGTCTGTAGTGTGACAGCCTGTTGAGACACCTAGGCCAGCTTATTTGAATACTGCAAATGGGAGGGGGGAAAAAAATACCTCAGTTAATTTGAGATGTGAGATAAACTGAGATCACAGCAGATGAGCAAACTTAATTATACTCCAAATTTTTTTTTTCGTTCTCTGAGAAGTTAAATGATGCCTCATGACTTGACACTACTATTACTAAGTTCCGTTCAAAAATTGCCTTTAATACTAAAGTTAAAATGTCTTCTTGCATACGGTTCTAATGATTAACTCTTCTTGTTCACAGATAACTACTCTTATTAATCATAAGGATAAACCAAAGCGTTCAGACAAGACTCTGCAAGCAATTCAGCGAGTGGGCCAAGCAGTTAACCTGGCAGTTGGAAGATTTGTTACAGTAGGTGAAGCTATAGCCAATGAAAATCATGAATTGAAAGAAGAAATGAGTGTTGCTTGCATTGAGGCAAGGAGAGCAGGTATGTAGTTACTTATGAAATTGTGCTTGTGCCATTTTTGGCCCCCTATCTTTAGAGTCAGCAATAATATAAGACTTTATTTAATTGCTTAACACCCTTCTGCTTGTTCATTCAAGGCCTGATCTGTTACCTGATTTTATCACTTACTTAAGTTGCTGTCATCTTATGAACATCTTATGAATTAGCTTTGGGTTTTATTTTTTTTAATAGGATCTTTTGCTACAAGGAATTTATGACTGCTGTTTGTTTTATGATGTTACTACAGACAAGAGTAGAGTGTTTAGAATACAACTTTAGAGTTTATTGCTCTCAAGCTAAATCAGTGGAGTATTTAAAGTAATTTGAGTGTTACGCTATTGAGGTCACTGTGTTCTAAATCTGAATGTTTGAGTGAAGGTCAGTGTCAACCCATATTTCATCAGGATTCAGCAAGATGACTCACATCAGTCATCTGATGACTCCCCTTGGTAAAATGAAAATAATATTGCACTTGCCTTTTTGCTGGATTCAACTTTTGTTACAAACTTGCTCTGTGTGTGGATTGAATGTGAAGTATGGACAATTGATTGAGTTGCCTGCTGTCACCTTCCTCCCTCCAGAAGCCCCTGTCCAGGTGAACAGTGGGTTACGTTCTCTGATACTGTAAGAGAATGTCAGCATCATGCTAGAAACTAGGTTTCTAGATATTAAGTACTATTCCTTGCATGATATTTCACTGGCTCCTAGTAAACACATATTCTTAGATGTGCAGTGCAGCCTTCAAGAAGACAACATCTAGAAAAATGTTCCTTTATTGTTAGTGGTAGTGAGTTTTTGTTTTTTCTTTCAAATACCTTCGGATTATGGGAACTTCTATTTGAAGCTTTTCCTGTTTAAGTAGGTGGAATTACCTACAGGTGTGACAGACTTTCTGCTTACTTGGCTTCAGGAAGACAATCTTGAGCTTCCAGATGTGGAGGCAGGTAAATGACCCTTCAGCACTAATGTCTTGATGACTGCAGAAGGGAGTAATACTCTACTCCAAGATACGGGTTAATGTGCTTAAAATTGATCTGTTAAGTTAAACAGTGGACCTGTGGGTAAGCGTTTTGCTTTTATCTTCTAAATAACCTCAGAAGCCCAAGAAACTTGCCTTTTGCTGTCCTAGTTGTTATATTTCTTGCTGAATGAATGTGCTAGCCTCAAACTTTGGGGATGCTGTTCATACTGGTTTTGTGATTAAAAAAAAAAAAGCTTAGAAATGGTCATGTTACTGTAAGAAATCCTCTGAAAATCCCTCAACAATGAGTCACAATGTCTAGAACCATGCTGGTGATGAATGGTTGTTCTTGTGATTTGAAGGACTATTCTAGATAAACTTCAGACTGAAAATGCATAGTTGCTCCAGTAAACTTGGCTGCAAACAGAAATGTCCTAATTTGAAAACATTCCATTTGTTATGTGAAGCATGTGTTTTCTCTTCAGAGATCCAAGTAAAATGCTGACAAGCCGAAATTGCCAAAGTTTGTCGATAATCTCAGCTGCTAAAGAGCAATGCAGTCTGGATCTCTGTTTCTTGACTCACCAGTTATGCTGTGGCCAAGTGCTTTTTCTTCCTAACAGTGTATCCAGAAGGAGCTCAGAATCTAAAAATAATCTGCAGTATTTTCTCTTACCAAATGGTTATATTTTTTTGCATTGAAAGTTTTTATTTCCTGTTACGCAGCAATGTGCCTCTATCTAGAAGAGTGAAGATCTAGACTGTTTGCTTTTCTGTCAAGCCTCACAACTACCTTGGTGTGGGTCAGTTATTCACTCTGAGCTATCCATTTGATGAAGAATTACATGCGAAATTCAGTATATCAGATGTGTTTGCAGCTGGGTTTTTGTTTGGTTTTTTTTTTTTTTTTGTGCCAGTATTATCTCTGTGGACTGTTAAGTGTTGAATAAGGTAAGGTAGTCCTTTGTGCAGATAAATTCTTATGATTGACTGTCCTCTGAATTCAGTCTCTGAATACAGTTGCTCAAGTGCCATTTTGAACAACTTCAGTGTTCCCAAACAAGCCAATAAAATCTGGCCAATTTTAGCCAAGAATATTGACTTGTATAAAAGAATCCCATGTTCTGACAGCATGGGCAGCAAAAAGCCCATGCTGTTCAGGTTAGAGGATGTTGTAGAGCTGTTCATATTTCTTTTTAGCCAATAAATTAGATTGTGCCTCAAAAATTAAAGGAACACTTTGTTAGGCATAGAAGATGGATTTCAACACTAAAAGATTTAGAACATTAAGCATCTCAGTTGCTAAGAAAAGTAGGGAGTCTTTAAATCAATTGCATATCCTGCAGAGGCTTTGAAGGATGACAGATGTTGTATCTGTCCCTTGTGAAGGGTATAATCAACGATATGAAGTGTTTCAGACTTGTTATGACTATTTCCTTGTAATAAACCTTGTAATTTGATTGACTTAAAATAGAATCATAAAACACTTCAGAGGGTCAGGTAGCAGGTTTTGCCTAACATTAGTCTTGCACTATGTCAGTGTTTACAGTGACAGTATAGTAGTGGAATGTAACTCAAAGAAGCACATTTTTAGATGCCCATCTGTGATTTTTTTTCTTTTTTTTTTTTTCTCCAAAACTAAGAAAGACTGGTTAATTTAAAAGAGAAAACACATGTCAAGAATGAGTTAGTGTCATAACGTTTTCAGTATTCTCTGCTAGTTGACTACATAGCCCTAAAGGAAGACATGCAGTAAAATGGAAGCAATAAATAGCGCTCTCCTATTTTTGCCTTGTCTTTTCATACAGAGGATGACTAAACTAAGAATGTTGAAAGCAACAATTTAAAATGGATAAATAGAATCACAGAATTGCTTATGTTGGAAGGGACATTTAACTCTAAGAATGGAGATCGTGCAACTTCTTGTATGCCTCTCACAGTGTTTGACCACCCTTACAGTGGCAAAAGTATTTTCTTATATCTTGTCCATTGCTTTTTGTCCTGTTGCCATGCACCTCTAGGAGCAGTCTGTCTCTGTCTTGTCCATAGCTGCCCATTAGGTAGGTAGTTGTAGACCACAGTAAACTCTGCCATTGTCCTTTTATTCTTGAGATGGAACAAACCTGCTTCCTCCAGCCTCTCCTCTTATGTCACATGCTCCACTATGTCAATGTTTTCCCTAGTACTGGGGAGCTCAGAACTGGACGTGGTACTCCAGATGCTGTCTCACAAGTGCCAACCAGAAGGGATGATTTCTGCAGCCTGCTGGTTACCTTCCTGCTAACCACTCAGCGTGCAGCTGGCCATCATTGCTGACTCCTGTTCAACTCTGTCCTCCAGGTCCCCCATGTCTTTCCCTGCAAAGGTTCTCAGGTTCTCTGTAGACAGCTGACCCCAGCCTGCGCTGTTGCATGGTGTTATCCTGGCCCAGATGCAGGACTTGGTATTACTGCCTTTGTTGGACTTCACAAGCTTCCTGTCAGCTCATCTTTCCAGCCTGTCTCTTTGTCTAGCAGCCCTGTCCTCCAGTGTATTATATGCTCCCCGGTTTGGTATTGTTCACACACTTGCTCAATGTGCTGGCCCATCATCCAGGGAGTAGTTTTGATGCCTCGTATCAGTCCCTGAGGGACACCACTGGTAATTGACTGCCTGTTGGACTTTGTACCATTTATCACCGTCCCTGAGCCCAACAATCAGGTCCATCTTCTACCCACCTTATTGTTCACTTATCCAGTCTGTGTGTCATGATTTAGTTATAAGGACACTTTAGGACATCATGTTGGAGGCCTTGCTAAAGTTGAGATACACAGCATCCATTACTTCCTTTTCTAGAGATGGTATCATCTCGCCATAGAAGGCATTCAGGTCGATAAGGGACTATTCACCTTTGCACGTCTGTGCTGGCTCTTCCCAATTGCCTTTTTCTGCTTCATGTGTTAATGGCTTCCAAGATGAGTTTAATAATACTCCTGGAGACTGATGTGAGGCTGACTAGCCCATAATTGCCTGAATTTTTCTTGTTACCCTTCTTAAAGTTGCCTTTCTATCATTGGAAATCTGTCCCAATTGTCACAATCTTTCAGTCATGATAGTAGAATTACAGTGACACTGTACTGCTTCTTTGACACTCCCAGATGTGTCCCATGGACTTCTGTATGCCTGGCTGGCTTAAATAGTCCCTAGCTCAGTCTTTTTACCTTGTTCCTCATAGCTTACTCCCAGGGCACCATTCCTTTTCCTGTAGTTGCAGATCTGCAGGCAGAGAAGGAAGCCTTTATCCTGTTGTCAGAAGTCTCAAGTTTCTAGGGCTGTCTGGAGCTTTCGACAGGCAGATGTTGCAGCACTTTCTACGTTCTCAGATTACTCTTTGTATGACGAGATGTTTCATCTATGACTTGATAATTTGTCTTCAAGAAGGTGAATACTGCAGCATAAGAAATGGGACAATGATGTTGTGCATCCTTCTTTGGTTACCAAAAGCACTTTGCATCCGTTTAAATTGTTCTCTGTGTTTCTACAGCATTTTATGTTGTCACATACATTTTGAGGTCAAAGGAAGAGATTGGGGTTGAACAGTTCCAGCTGAAGATTGGCCTGAACTGAAATGAATTTGACTGTGGAGAAGGCAATGGCCAATCTGTTTTGCTGTTAAATGATCTCCTCACCTGACCGGAGACTTGTCCTACAATGTTAGTGTATCTGGCTGCCCTCGCTGTTAGGATAATAGCTGTATTTTTATAATTCTTCTTGCTTCTATTAATTTTCAGGCTCTTCAGCTGTGGAACTCACCATCTCAGAGTGTACTGTTTATCATATTTGCATACTTATGCTAGAGAGACCATCTGATTATTTGTAGCATGGCTTTTATGACCTGACCTGGTTCTAGCAAAAGTACTGGATGTTCCTTGCCACAGTGCGATACCTATTCAAGGCAACTTAGGAGCTCAAGGGATTATATTGTCAGAGGAGAGAACCTATACATAAACACTATGAAGTGTGGAGCTGTGTGGTTTGAAGGACTGTCAGGCCATCCTTGTTCTGTAGTGTTTGTGTGTGGTATTTCCAGAGTAATAACGGACCTTCGGGTTCTTCATATGGGACCTCTGGCTTTATCAGGCTTTTGGAGTATCTTGTCTGCTTAGGTGAATTACCTTAGCTGAGGTTTTGAAGATGAGTCATAGGGGACTTGATCAAATGTCCTTTATTTTATCTTCAAGGATGATCTGCAGCTTAGTTGTGGGTTGAAATCTTGTCTTGCATGCTCACAAAAAGCATTCCTCAGAGCTTGCCTGAGTTCAGCCTCCCAGTAGTCCTCCTGTGGCTGTGGAACAGGAGATTGCTCTATGCCTTTCCTCCATTGCACTATTATCTAGAGTACTGCAGAAGATTTAATCAGATAAGGGCCTGTGATTTCTCTCAGACAAGGAGATCCATTGTCTGCATTGGATTGTAAAATTTTTAACACATAAAAAATAGAAGTGGTCAAATAATCCTATTTAGCTATTATCATATTAAAGGCTAGTTGAATAAAAAGACGCTTATGAACCAAAAATCAGTGCTTCTCTGCCTTTTTTTGCTCTCCTATCTCTGGCAACATCCTGTTTGGTGGCCCTCCTTTGAACATAAAGTGCAGTAGTCTCACTATAATACTTCAGTCCTATAAGTTATAAAATTACTGTTTGGAATCTATGCTTCATGCCTGAAGTGTTCTACAAGAATAGAAAATCCATGAATTATGGAAATACTAACTGAAATTTGGAAAGTGGAGGGGAATTTGTAGTTCTTCCTTCCTTGCTGCATCCCACTCCTTCAGTGGGTTGATGCTGCAAGTGTCAACACTGATTTGACTTCTGCTATTAAAACTGGAAAAATATCTCCCATGAATGTTTTCTCCCTCCACACTCCCCAGCTCCAACCTCCTCCACCTCAAATATCTGTAGACTACTGTAGGAAAATTAGCGTATGTTACAGATGGAAGAATGAGGCAGTACTGAATAATAGTCCAAATTTATATATGGAGAGGGTGCCACCAACAGTCAGTAGAAAGAAATGAAGTGGAATAAAGAAAGTTGTAGGTAGCTCTGAAACTGTTGTTTTATCCCTCATAGGTAAAAGTTAAGAATGCTTAATGGCCCAGTATCTTTTTTTGTAAGTATGAAATGTTAATTATTCCTTTTTTTCCCTCTAGGTGAAACAATCGCACAGCTTACAAACGTGGCAAGCTTGGATCATCCAGAATCTGATAGCCACATAACAATCTTCACGGACAAAACGGGTGTGGTAAAAGCTGCAAGGTTGTTGCTTTCTTCTGTCACAAAAGTGCTGGTGTTAGCAGACAGAATTGTTATTAAGCAAATTATAACTTCCAGGAACAAGGTATTTGTAGCTTCTTTTTTATTTAACTGATATCTGCAGTCAATGCAAAAGAGTGGTGGTAAATGAAGTGGTATTTTCATTGTGTCTCTAGGGGAAGTGCAAAATAAAGAGGTAAAAATGAATGTCTTACACCTGTTCACCTGCCAGATACCTGAAAGGGGATGGCTGTAAGTCAGGAGAAATAAGATATAAAATGTAGAAAGTCTCTGAAAATTGTTGTGACCTGTATTGCTCTATTGACTTAGTATGCTGGAGAAGACACTGTTTTACTGCTTATTTAACTTTGTTTGCTGTGAGGTGGAAAGTGCGTCTGTCAGTAAAATGGCCAATAAAAGCTTGTATGTGCTAAGGATAGGATGTTTGTACTGTCAGGATCGAGACAAGGAGAGCATTATGAATGTGTCTAAGGCAAAAAGCTGTGAGGAACGCTGATAAAAGTCTATGCTAGTGAAGTGCGGTTTACAGATTAAAAGTTTTTGTGCAGTTTAACTGATGTCTTGAAACTTAGCTTGAAACTACTTAGTTGATTTAAATAATGTGTGAAGGCCCATTTTACCTCAAATGTAATCTATTTAATGTACTGCACTGTCTTGCGTGTAGGATATTCTTTCTTTTTTTTCCTCCCCTTGATGTGCTAAAACAAAAATGGAAAAACCTCATGTTTGACAAATGAGAGCATGATGGGGCCTGGGTTTTTCCATTCATTTTCAACTGTTAATCCAGAGCAGAGCCCCTCCTTCCTCTTTTGACTCCTCATGCTATCTCTCTTCCTTTGTCCTGGTTTGCTTTCCAGATATGCTGGTCTCTATTTTGCAGCTTCTAGATTCAAGACACTTACTTGAGTCGAGGATACAAAAACTGTGGTAATACCTGCTTCAGTCTGGCTTTAGACTTAGCAGCACTGATTTGCTGTCTTAGTGCTCTTTTCTTCTCCCAGTGGTTGATGAAGGTGACAGCAGTTTTATCAATATTAATTTGGTAAAGTTACTTGCAGCTTTGGTCTTTTCTTGCACTGGAGACCAGAATGGTGCATTTAACACCCTTTGTTGCCTTCCGTGAGCTTTTCTTCTGCTGTCATCTGCAGCCATTCAGTGATCTGAATTAATTTACCTTTCCAAAAGTAGCTGGTGTTAACACAGATTTAGGCCACAGGCAACTGTGCAAGTATTTGTATCATGAAGGGATAGGGAGGGATACACCCTTTTGGCAGCAGGGCATGATTTATGATAGTCTTAAATATTTATTAAACTATTGTCATATAAACAGTGCTATGAATATAGTAAGTATAGGTGCAAGATTTAATTTTGAAGGTGTTTAAAATGAAGTCTCATATTCCAGAGTAAGTGTGTCTGACTCTGATTGCCATAGTTGCCCTAACATCTGTGATCTTTTGGGTTTTACTGCATTCTCCTTTCTATGCATAGTTGACAGGTGTTTGAGAATGTCTGCTCCTGTTTATGGTACCAATAGAGCAATTCACATCTCTAGGACCAAAATAAACAAATGATGGTGTCTTATACAGGCATACCCCGATATTTATAGAGTACGCTCCCAAAAAGTGTGTCAGACACTGGTATGATGGGTAGCAAAGCAGTTCTTACTGTAAGAAATATTGTGGTAGAGGGATGATGTGGGCAGGGACTTAAGAAGTGCACACAAATACTCAGAGACGGTCTAGTATAACATGGCGTAGAGGATGGAAAGGCAAGAACAGGATCATCAGCACTGCCAGCTGGAGCAGATGCCAGTTTCTTGGGGTGGGTCACTGTTGCAGAAGATCTCAGCTGTGTTTTTGTCTTAGAGACTGAATGCCCAATGTTAAACTTCTAGTGCCACTTTTCTTGCTGCCTCTTTCTGAATGCCTTCATTTTCATTGTTGTTATCATCTTCCTCATATGGCTCAAGAGTAGTTAATTCAACCAAGGGCAAAGGACAGAAAAACACTGTAGTGGTTGGATGTCCAGTCTCATAGACTGATGAAGTAATTGAGATCTTCTAGAATGGTGATCTCCAGATTCCAGCTTCTGCATCCTCTGCACTATGTATACCATCCCTGTGTTCTTAGGCTGTGTGTATTTCTGAAGTCCCCGCCCACATCCTTCCTACCTTACAAAATTTGTTTTGCTGTCCATCAGACTTAGTCCCTGCATCAGTGAGCTTCAAGTCTAGCTCCGCTTACTGTTGTCAGTCAGGTTAGGAGCGCCGGAACAGCGAACAGGGAAGTGACAGATAGCGGGGGTGTTGCTGCACTATGCAGATTGGAACAAAATATGGATGTGCCCTGAAGCAACGTCAGCCTACAACTGCCATCTGAAAGGCAACATTCGTAGTGCAGCGGTCGCTGTGTAATACTGTTCTAATTTAGATATTAATAGGACCTTAAAGCCTTTTTTGATACATATTTTTTAGCCTTGTATTTAAAAATGTACGTTAATTACTATCTGTGTGTTTCACGCTGAAGAAAGTTTAAAATGAAAAATTATGAAGATGTTGCAGGTATTTTGCATTTTAACAGCTTCTTGAATAAGCTTTAGACAAATGTAGAGCTGTCTATATGGTTTCTCTCTATGTAGTTTCTTGGAATGTCAGCTCTGCCTGGAATGTCTAGAATGTAAAGGAAATGTGTGTGCTTTCACTGAAATTTTTATTTGACAAGAGATTTGCCATGACATAAACACTTGCTCTAGGGTAACTAACAGAGTTGCTTGCAATCACGACCATACTCATGAAGTACTATACTTGCTTAAACCAAGAATGATTGAGCATAATTATTGTTAGTTTTTATTCATTCTTAGAAGAGAAAGTTGGACCTTAACTTTTATGTTTTTTCCTTTCTCCACATTCACTTTTCTATATCCTCACTTTCCCAGTCCTATGGTTCTCTGCTTCTTCCACTCTCACACTGCTATTTTCACATCTTCATCTTTGTGCAGCTTCCTTCCAAGTCCTTTATGCCCCAGCCTTGCTCGTGCGTCACCACCTGAATCAGGGAAGTTCCTGTTTCTGCAGCCTTTGTGGAACTGGCTGCATAGCATAAGATACTCAGACATGCAGTCTAATATTGCATGATAAAGCAGTCAGTTCCACAGTACTCACAGGATTTAGTGAAACATTTGCTTTACAGAGATTATAACTATGAGATTGAGCAGGTGCTCTATTACAAAAGAACGGGTGCTTCTAGGAGGGTTTGCCTGGGTTGCAGGGAAGGGGTAGTTTGTCATAATGAGGTATGTAGGCTGCTTTTTTAGTTGAGGGGGAAGATACTTTTAGCATAGGAAAGGAAAAATAAGTTTCTCCCATTGAAGTATGGTTTGTTCAATTTTCATGCGGTATCTTATCTCCAGCCTGAAACACAGTAAAGAACTGCTTGGACTGTCTTCTCTTCTGAAGACGTTTAGAGGATTTGAAAGATCACTGTGGGATTAGCAACTATACCTCTGACCTGAAAAACCCTGATGTTAATCTCTGTAATAAACCATATTGTAGTGACTTCATCAGGATAGCTTTAGTACTCATTTTTGCTGAATGTTTTTAAAAATGCTGATTTTGCATGCTTTTATGTATCTTGAGTGTAAGAGCTTGATACAGCTTGAGTTCATTTAGTTCTCTGTTTTATATAGAGCTAATAGAAATCTTCAGAGTTAGAGATGTTTTGGAAAGTATAAAGCTATATTAAGTTATTTCTAACTTTATTTGTTTTCTTTTGTGGAATGCTGTTGCTTTTTTTCTTTTAATGCACACAACCATTAAAACACCTGTCTGTGCATCTGTGGTTTTATACTTTGGAAGTTACACAGCTGAAATTGAACTTTGTAATTGAGAGTTACAGCATGGGGTTATAATCTGTATATAAATTTCAAGTGCTTATGTTTTTAATATGACAGTAACATTTTTCCTAAATCTGGAAACTGAATCCTGTAATACTGTTACTCTTGATACTGGGAAGAATGAGGAAAATGTTTTTTGAGGGTTGACAACAATGACTCAGTTTGAATGAAGCACGATTATTAACTTACACTTGATTTTCAGCTGTTGAGTTGTTAATGCTTAAATAGTAACAAAATATATACATTTTAAACAACATGATTTTAAAATGTCTGCAAATAATAATACTCCTAGCTTAGTAATAATGTTTTCTGTTTAGCATCTTGATAATCTACAGTATTTTCCTTTATCTTGCAGGTTCTTGCAACAATGGAACAACTAGAAAAAGTCAGTAGTTTCCAGGAGTTTGTACAAATATTCAGTCAGTTTGGAAATGAAATGGTAGAGTTTGCCCATTTAACTGGAGATAGGCAAAATGTAAGTATTAACAAAAAGCTGTGAGCAATATTGTAAGGTATCTTTTTCATCTGATTCACTGGAAGATTTGGATTCTTCTGGGATGATTATCTATTACAAAGTCAAACAATTGCTGGTGTCCTGTTGCTGAAACCTAACTTCCTGTCCTTGCTCCACCCAAAAGACATCTTTTGATTTTAAAGCTCAGCCTGAGAAACATCACTGCGTTGTTTGATTGGCATATCTTCCAGAAGCCTGGGTGCGTGTCATTTGAGATGTCCTTTGGCTTCAATCACTGTCTTTTGGCTCTAACTTTTCTGGCTTATTACTTTGGTAGAGAATTTCTGGTTTTACTTGACAGAAACACTTGATGTTTGCACATCATGAAGGGATTTGAAAGCAAAGTAATTATTTTAGAAAACTCCAAATATGGAATCTTTACATCCTAATAAAGCATTTGATTGGGCTTTTTTTGTTTGGTGTTTTTTGTTTTTTTTTTTTAATTACTCTGGAATATTTTTCTAGGTTTAGTTCAAAACTTTCTTATATTGGGTAATGGTTTTTTACTTCCCACATGCAGCTGCTCTTTTTGCTGCTACTTCCACGTAAATAAGAGGTTTGCTGAGGCTTAAGACTTCTGCTGTGAGCTCTAGTTGCTTCCCCTTGGCAATCAAATCCTCCATTGAGAACCGAACCAGGGTCTGATATAGAAATACAGAGTACCTAATATTCAGCAAAGTTCAGAATTCAACTTGTATAAACAGTTGGCCGGCCTCCTGCATCTCCTTTTGCTGTTGATGTGTTCCGAGTCTGCGAAGTACATGCTTAGTATCAAAGAATCAGTTCTGGAAAAGCTACATATAATGAAAGGAAATACTTGCTTGGAAATGAACCTTCTCTATTTTTCCCTGAAATATTCATAGCAGTTGTTCCTTGGAAAGAGAAAGGTGCATAACTAGTAAGTGATATTCTTTTCAACTATTTTTGGTTTTCATTGTCAACTAGTCTTTGGCTCTCCTCTCTTTGCCTACTTGACTCTTTCGGAGTGTTTCATTACTGCTTTTTAAATCGTGTCAGGACTTTCTTGATACGCTTACTTTACAGTGTGTAGGCTGCTATGTGGCATCATTAGTTTTACTGGGAGGAAACATCCCTCAAAGTATTTTTCCTTAGTATAATTATAATAAGTAAGCCAGAAACTCTTGAGTGTGGTCAGATTTATCACACTGTAACGTCAGAATTTCAGAAATGAGCTGTGGGTTTTTTGTTTGTTTGTTTTAAATGTGGTCATTTTGATCTTAAAGATTTTCTGTAGTTGCTAAATAAGATCTTTATAAAAATGTCAAAACAGACTGCTGCTGTGATTTATCTGGGGTTTTTTGCTAATCTAGGGTTAATTAGGATTAATCCCATCCTGTAAATTGTTCCCTTTTCAGCTGGTCCCATGCAGTTGCCTGTTTAACACTCAAATAGCACTCAGCTATCTTTGCGAGCACTGAGAGGATCTTAGTTGTAGTTTTGTAAGTTCTTCTTTTTGTTAGATCATCTTGTATGTTGAGGGGTTCATGTCTTGCCCTCTTCCCTCCCTCCCACCCCCACCCCAATTTGCACTCAAATTCTTCCCTTTTGATGCACTTTTCTGGGGATATAGTTTGGGTTTGCAGGTATATCCCTCTCCTTAGAGAGTTCTTGAAAAGTTTCTGTGCTTAATGCCTTCCTGCAGAGGAATTGCTTTTTTAGCCATTTAAAACTTTCTTTATTACTGGTACATAGTAAATATAATATTCAAGTAGACAAAAGATTTATTTTACAATGCCTTCACTGCAGTACAATGAAAAGCTGGTGTTACCTGTCTCTGCCTTACCCTCCCCCTATTTCAGAAAATAGCAAAATTAGTGACAGTTTACATAACATGCTCCATATCTCTGAGATCTTCCTTCTTTGAAATCTGAATTGAACAGAGCCAAGAATAAATGCATAAATTAAAATCTGTCTGAAAAGCAAGTTCTAGATCATGAGTTAGGCTGAAAATAGCAGTTGTCACACATAAAGAAGCTTTCTCACAACCCATCCATCTGCAGGAGAGTTCCCTTTTTCCAGTCTCAGAGGCAGTTACCATTTTTGATACTGTGTAATATTCAGGTCATTTTTTTCTTTTGGTGTTTAGGATCTGAAGGATGAGAAGAAAAAGGCTAGAATGGCAGCATCTAGGGCTGTTCTTGAGAAGTGCACCATGATGCTCCTAACTGCTTCAAAGGTGAGCGAGACACTCACTTAGATAAATCACGGAGTATGGCACCTGGCATGATAGCTGACTCTTCTTTCTCAGCCCCACTTCAAACTTTGTTCTAAAGAAGGGTGTAAGAGTAAAGAATGAGTAGAGGAAAATATTTATATTCTGAGTAATGGTATGAATTCTACTGAACACAATAGGAGTTTAGCAGAAAGCATTTATCATATTCTAACACATTCTTTAGACTTGCCTTAACGTGAAGCATTCATTTCGCTATACTGCATGCGTACTCCTTCATAATACTTATTTTGCTTTCTTTAAAAAGACTTGTCTGAGGCATCCAGACTGTGAATCTGCTCGTATAAACAAAGATGGAGTTTTTCATCGGATGAGATTAGCTTTGGAACAGGTAATAGAAATTGTAACTGACTCTAGACCAAATGGAGAAAATGAAATGGCCCCCATCAGCATATATTCTGGCATCAAAGAATTCAAGGTAAGAGTAGAAGTAGTATTGTTTTGTACAGCCTAATAAATTACCCCAAATTTGAATTTTGAAATTAGAATTTTGAAAAAAAAAAAAAAATTAAATTCCAAATGGTGGAGCTGCATCTTTTCATCAGTGTTAACTTTAATTAAACTGTCCCAAAACATTAGAGAATGTGACAAGAGAGGATTATGATTTCATTGTCACTGGCAAAATACACCTTCTGATACTTGCCATCTTCTCCTGAATCAGAATGTATTCAGAACTCCAATGTTTTGTTGAGGTGATGCATTGATATTGGATAAACTTAAGTATCAGGATACCAATCAGAACTTCATTAAAATAGGTGTTGTTGAAGAATTCTTGCTTTGTAATTGGTAGTATTTTTAAAACTGCACACAAAAATATTCCTCAAAACATTTAAAAGAGCGAACTGTAATTCAAAGGAAATGTTATGAATTGAAATTGCATCTTGTAGCTCAGTTGATTTTTTTTCTCATAAAGGCTTTTCTAAATTTCATACTCAGTTAAGAACAATTAATTAACAACCATGTCTTATTTCTTTGGAGTCTGTCACTTTGGTTTTTTTTATTATTATTTTTTTTTATTCCTTCTCTTTAGAACTTGGTTGAAATTTTTGTCAAGTGCATCAAAGTATTCAGTTTGCTTACATGTAGATTTTTAGAAAAATACTCAGATGATGCGGATGTGGAAAGATCAAACAAATTCCCAATACACAATTAATTCCTGAAACTTACTGAACTTAAAAACTTTTTATTGCCAGCAGTAGAACAGTAATGTATTTGCTGTTACTCCTGATAAGTGGCCAGTAATTTGCTGATGGTATTAGTAAATTAAAAAAAAAAAAACCAAAACCCCAAACCTTAAACTGGAGGTCTGGATACAAGCAAATTGTTGGATTACTTTGAAAACAAGTGAATAATAAAAAAAAAGCACTGAGGATAAAAACAAAATGTAAAATGATGAATCTGCTTTCTGCATTTGCATCCCAACTGTATATCCACATGAATTCTCAAGTAACTGATACACTTCTTTTTCAGAATAAGGTGGAGGGGCTTCGTGAGAATCTTTACTTTCTCTCAAAAGAGAACCTTTCGACAATGCTTGAAGTTATCCTGGAACATACGGAGGACTTCACAGACTCTGCCTATACCAGTCATGAGCACAGAGAACACATTTTGGAGCTGTCTAAACAGGCTAAAATGGAACTAGAGCAGCTGGTTTCAGTGTGGATGCAAGCTGTAAGAGCTTTTTAGCAAAGTAAATCTTTTCACCTCTACTTTGGAAAGGAATTTTTAATGCAGTGTTTCTTCTGGTCTAGGAAGAGAGAACTGTGTGTATTCCTCACAGTGAGAGCTGATCAAGGAAGCCAGAGTCTATTCTGTGCTTCCACAGCTTCAATATGTTCTGTTCCCCGCCCCCCTGCCTTAGTGGTATTGCTTCATTGATTCTTTGATGGCTAAATTAGGCTACTAGTGGTGGTAGACTAATTTTAATGAAGCTGTAAGTGGAAACAAGAAGGCAAATGGAAGTATCATTGCACAATCTTAAACAGTTAGGTCTTTTGCTTGAGTCATTCAGAGACTTCAATTTGTCTTGATCCCATGGCAGTGATCACCGTTTCTTGTTTTCAACGGAGTATTGAAAACGCTTAAATGAAAAGGGAAACATTCTAAAGAAATTACTCTCTTTTTAATCTTGGAGAGAGAGGAAGGAGATGCTAAGCCTTACAGGAATTTTGGTTTGTTCTTCTTACAAGATTTAAATGATGGTAATTTTCCTTTTTAGAGAAGAAGTACATTAAGCCTCCTTCTGTCATTTGGCTTATCTTGTTCCTTTAAGATGATAGAAGATACTTTCATGACAAGGAGGAAAAGCAGAGATGGAAAATGCAGTTTCTGTTTCTGATGCTGACTTGCTTTCAGTCTTTTTCCTGAGGAAACATATAAAGCACAAAATCTTACCAACACTCAGAAACATGGCAGATGTGTACTAGTATAGGATACTTACTTAACTAGGTGTATTGCTTACAAGTAAGCATTTTTGTTCCTTTTCTCCTTTGAATCAGATGCTGCAGTCAGGTGTTCCTAATGCAGTAGTGCAGTTTGAAGAGCATATAAATCTTATTGATAATACGGACTGTTGCTATTACAAAGATGACACACATAGAATATTAGTTGCATAGGAGCCCAGAACTATAAGAAACTAAAACTGTTCAGATTGGCGTTGGTGGTTAGCCCTGGTAGGCAGCTGTGTAAGCACTGCTCAGCAATAGTTAACACATCCCTGTGTTATCAACACTGTTTTTATCACAGATCCAAACCAGTACCATGCAGATACTATGAAGAAAATTAATTCTGTCCCAGCCAAAACCAGTACACTTGGGTATTTCTAAGCTCTGTTACTGGTGGAAAATGCTCACCTCTAAATAATTCACATGCCACATTTCACATGATAGGAATGCACAAGGCTATGCATATATATGATCCGTGAAAATACTTGGGCATGCACATGTGTGCTTATGCATTAAGTATTTTCATTAATAAATAAGCCAGCCTAGCTGCAGCTGAAGATGCAGTAAGCAGATAAAATAGTGTCAGCTCACTGAGGTGGCTTTTTAGTTTCAGCTCAGCAGCTCCATCAGAGGGTGACTATTTTCTGAGGGACTTAATCTAATTCAAGTGGGATTGTTGATTTAAAAAAAATATATTATTGTGCCTTGGGGATACATGAACTGGGGGATATGTAGAGCTCTTAGAGTGCTCAATTATTTCCCTTTCTACTCACTATATTTCCTTTTAGCAAGCAGAGTAACTGTGAGTCTTCAGTAAAGAGTGTATTTTAAAACAGAAGTGCCTTGTAACCTAGGCCAAGTCTAAATTAGGCTGACATCACTGATCTGCTCTCTTTTATATTATTGTATGTTAATGAAAACTAGCTGGAGCACAACAGATAATCTAATGCTGTTGATTGAATTTTAATCTTTACTGTCTATGTTCAAGCTCATAAGATTGCAAGCTACTGTCCTTTTTTACGTTTTTCTGTAACCTTATTTTGGCTAGACAATTGCTTCACTTGTATTTAAAAAAAAATAAATCTGCACATAGAAGGAGCAAAAATGTGCACATTAAGTAAAAGAAATAAAAAGGACACTAGTGAGTGTAAAACATTATGCTGATTGTGTTAAAAGTGATTTTGTGATGTTAGACTTCTACACAAATTACTTAAAGCATTACATTTGAGGGACAGGTAGCTTTGAGTATTAGAACAGGTAAGAATACTTAAGGAAATTATCATATTGGCTTGGGTGGGGTTTTTTTCCTTTAAATAAAATGGAGGGTGTGCGTGTCTATGCCTACACACATTTTGTGTGTGTATGTTTATGTTAATTTAGACTCTGAGGTGCTATTTTTTTGCAGCTATGGTCATGGTAACAGCCCCAGCTAGGATAATTGTTTCCAATATATTTCAGAGGAGAATGCAAAATCACTGCTACTTAACTTTTTTCCCAGTGTATGTCTCTTCACATCTGGGTTGTTCCGTAGATAGGTCCTATTTGCAGAAGTGAGAGCTCTGTCTTGAACCTACCTCAACAAAATGTTGTTAGCTACAGTATGCATTTAAATTAGACCATGATCTAACCTCTTACAAGGATGCTTTAAGTAACCTTTTTGTAATTCAGTATAGAACATTTGATTTAACATTTTAGGTACCACTTTATTTTAAAAGGGTGCTTAGATTTAAGAAAAAAAAACACCTTAAACTGTTGCTCTGCTTTTAGACAGAAGATTTTTAGAAGTTGTAAAGCTTAAGGAAACCATTTTCCTGGAAAAAAAGCTCAGTGAGGTTTAGAAATAAATTCCTGTTGAACAGAAACAGTCAATTAGCTTACATCACTATTATTTTTAGATTTGATTTGGTGATAAATGTTTCTATAAAAGAATTTTTCAAGTAGAATATACACAGGATGCGCAAACGAAAATGTTAAATCTAGAAGGAAAAGGCTGTCTTCTAAAGCAACTTGAAGCAATGACGCATGATGTGAAGGTGGGATTTTCTCGGGTCTTTGTATAATGTTTTGTCGGTTGCTTGTAGCAAAACCAGAAGACAAAGGATCTCATGGAAGACTTGGAAGTAGCCATTTTAAAAACATGCCAGTGCATGAATGAACTTAAAAGAGAGGTAAGTCTAATTTAAGCAAGCATAAACTGAATAAAAGTTTGAGTTTCTTACTTTCTGTATGTGAAGTTGTAAAATAGGATCCTGTACCCAAAAAGGCTAGTATTTATTTATTTATAGACAAGAGTAGCTAAACTGGAATTACATCAGGGAGCTAGTATGCAGTCATCTTCTGTGTCCTTACTTAGAACTGATTAGAAATCTGTTGGGTACATAGGCTCTTCGCTAACTCTGACAATACTAAAAAAACCACCAGTGTTTGAAAATAAGTACCATGTATATATCATTACTTTAAATGTCTAAACTTTCCTTGGGGATGTATGCATCACTGTTTTAAATACTTTTTCTTGTAGTGTGTGCTTAAATGAATGTTACATTGCTGTTTGTTTGTACTTAACCTGTTCTATTGATTTCTATAGCAGAAATGTGTTATGACAGTGCCTTATATTCAGGTATTTTTCTAGACAGTTGACAGCTGTGTATGTGCCTGCATTCTTTTCCTAAATGCAAACATGCTGGGTATCAATTTACATACAGGTACAAGATAGCTGCCTCATTTGGTACCTGGCATGGGCTGCACTTGCTGATCAGGGTCCTTCTCCCCCCTATTAACAGATAGTATGGCTATCTTGTCCATTCCACAGATTTAAGTCAAATACAGAATTACTGGGTTCTGGCAGCTTCTCTGAAATATTTGCAAAGCATTCAGATATCTTTTCAACTGCTTCATGTTATCATTCCTTGAAACAGATGGAGAAATGAAGACTAAGGGCAGAGAGGGTTTCAATACTAAGCTACCAAGCAGTGCAAAGATGTTAGAGAAGTATGGTGAACTTGCTTAAACTGAGCTCTTGGCTGCAGAGACTGGAAAGCCTCGACTGCTCAAAAAAAAATCATGCTGCATATTTTCTAATAGAGGCAAAATGAGAAATTTTGTCTTCCGGATTATAATTTCTGCAGCTGTCCTGAAGATTTGAACAGTGCTTTGAATCTATTTCAGTTGCAGTTAAGTGCTTTGCGCTTCTGCTGTCAGGCAGTGTGTTGGGCTCCCAGAAAATTTGTGCAGATTGAGTAATAGTTTTTAATTTGGTCACTGTTATGTAGGAAGTCAGTAGCAGAGCTTTTCCAGAGTGACATTCAGAAGTAAGAAAGAGCTGTAAGGTTGTCCTTGTTGAGTAACATCGCTCCTGTGAGCTGAATGAGGAGGAAGGGCTCCCAGTCAGAATAGTATGTGACTGCGTAATTGCGTAGATCATAAAGCCAAAGGTGGCTTGGAATATAGTATGTGGAATAAATCATTAACCTTGCCTTTTCTTGCAGCTCTGTAAATGCAAACCTTACCATATTGTCCTGGCCACAGGTTTCTATTTATGAAAATGTCATGCACAAAGAGTACACATTTACCACACATTAGTTAAAGAATTGTGTCAGGTGACAATAACAGAAAATTACCTTCTGTAAACTAGCTAACAGAGGTGGCATAAAATACAAAATAGTGGGTTACTTGTGCCCTGTGTTGTAGCTCCATATTAAAAGCAATGCTGGCGAAAACGTAGCACGCTGGTTTAGAAATTGAGGACCAAACTGAGTAGGTGTGGATTTCCAAACTAACAAATTCTAAGTTCTGTATGACTTGCTTTGGTGACCTGTAGAATATGAAAACTTGCTTAGTAAGAGCTTTTTTAAAATGCACACAATTCATGATACTCGTAGAAGTAAATTTAGAATATTTTCTAGTATTCTAATATTCTCTACATTCTAATATTTTAGTCATTTTCCTTGTTCTCTGTGTAGTGATTGGATTGATCCCAGAGTAGCCATGCTTCTGCACATGGCTGAGGAGGAGGACTGTCCTGTCAGTCTGACTTCAGGTGCTGCAGTGTATCGGTCAGCAACCAGCATCTCTGTTGGTGAAATTTAAGTATTGTGACTCTAATTAAAATGTTTTTGGGAGCCTGGGTGGCTGAGAACACAAGACAGCCTTGTTAAAAGTTGTTCTTTCCCATCTCTGTCACTTTATTGAAAGAAACGAAAGATATTTTCCTTCCCTGAGATGATTTTCCTGCTAATGATCAGAGACAGCATTAAGTAGAAATAAATTTATTTTTTAGGTCAGGATGAAAAGAATCTCTAATGAGAAGGTAATCTCCATGTAGCCTATATATAAATGAGAATTGCCAGTTCCTACTCTAACATTACAAGCCTTGCAGATATCCGTTCTTCAGAGCTGACTTCATTTCTGAGATTAGTGGTTTGTGCTAATTTTTAATGACATGCAAGCAACGCTATAAGAATAGTTTATAACAGGTTGTCATCGTTGGGTTTTTTTTCTCTCAAAAAAATAGTCAAAGCAGGTTTTGAGGTGACAGTTCAGGTTTCTTGCATGAAATTAGAAAAAAAACCCAAACCCAAAACCCCCCTTAATTCTGGATGGCGCAGGAAGTACTGCCAGGGGAAGGGGGTAAAAATAAGTAGAGTCCAGCGGAATAAAAAACCCAACTTACTATTCTAGTAAACATCCTCTTCTCTACAGAATCAAGGCCCACCAGTGTCACGATTTCAAGCTCGTTGCATTCCTAAGGATTTGAAAAATAACTTTCTCCTTGAACAGCCAAGTTTATGTGTTCAGTGCAGTCCAGCAAAGTGTATGTAAGACTCATAGTAGTCTTATGAGCATAAGAATGCTCTGCTATTTCTAAAAAGGTTACTATTTTGTTTTCACCTATTTTTTTAAAATGGGGCTGATTACAGGTCATAGGTAAATCTACTATGATCAGTCACTAGGACTAGCGGCAGCTGTCACTAATAACTCCTTCACAGTGCAATTTCAGCAGACCCATAGGTCTGAAAGTGTGTCTGGATTTAGGGATGTGATTCAAGGGGAAGCTTCTCCTTGCTTGTTGGGAGTGTAGGGAGAGTGTTTGAGACTTCTCCAAGACCTGTCTCTTGCAGAAAAGGTGCTTTTTACTTTTCTAAGGCTGTGTCACAAGCTGATTATATTCAAGCTTTTCTTAGCATCACTGAGAATTCAATTTATTCATAGGAACTTAATTTCTAATGTATTATAAACTCAGGTGCTCTGTGGCTTCAGTCTGATTCACAGTATAATGTGTGTTCTTCATGAGAAGTAGAGTGGCCATTGTGCCATGCTTAATGCTGAACTTGGTGCCCTGCACATTCATGCACCTGTTTGTTTTTTTCCCAGCTGTAACATTATCAGAAGGCAGCAGTGTGACAACTTCATGTCCTTGTTTTACCCAGTTGCTCTTTAGTTTCTGTCCCTATTCAGTTGTGGGGCTTTTTTTTTCTTTTTTCTCCTTTGGAGTGCAGTGGATTTGGTCTTTGTACTTTGAATAGTAATTGAAGAATTAAAACCCCAGATAATATGCAGGCTATATATGAGCTTTCATGGCAGTACATTTTTTGCTTCTTGGAAAAATCAATGTGTCTTTTAAGTCTGAGTTGGTTCTGGATGATTTTTTTTTTCTTCCAAGGTTTATCTCTTCTTCTTCTTTTCATGCTATTCAAGGTCCACAGTGCAGCAACATCTTTGGCAGCAGATCTGCTAAAATACCATACAGATCACATGGTTCTCAAAGCATTAAAAATCACAGGAGTAGAAGGAAATCTTGAAGCTGTAGCAGAATATACTTGCAAGCTATCAGAGCAGAAAGAACAACTTGTTGAGGTGAGTCCCTGGCTCCTTTCATTTTGTAAGGCACTTAGAAAATGAGTGGCTGGATTTGTCGTAATCCGTTCTTTAGGAAGACTTTGGTCTGTGTTTTTATAATATTTATTTGATTTTATTTTCCTAGTATATTGTTGAATTTTGTATCGTTGTTGGTAGGATCTGAACCAGCAGTGTTACTGTGGCATACACAGTTACTGTAGAAGAGATGTTTAGTCATACCCAGTTCTTCTCCTGGATCTGGACTCAATCTGTATGTATATACATGTTTCTAGATCCAAGCAGAGATGATAGCCTTTTACTTTCAAGCAGTAGGCATCCAGTAACAGCTGACTTCAAAGACACATTTTAAGAGTACTGGGAATGTAAGGTTAAGTTTCTTAATGCAGTGAACTTGACTGTTTTAAAGATCTTGTGTCATTTTTGTCAGTCAAGAGGGCCCCTGAAAATCTTTTCTCCTCCATGGAAAGCAGTGTATTTCATGTACTAATACATTTATGGTTTTGTATGGTAGTATTCACACATGAACATACAGCATTTCCAAGACTACTGAGAAATCATGGCTCTTAGGAGATCATGGCTCTTAAGAGTGCCTGTGGAGAGGATGCATGCCACGTACACCTTGATGTGCTCTCGTCGGGCAGATGAGCAGAAGTAACTGTACCAGTAGGAGATGTACAGAGTTCTTTGATCTGGAACATGGTGGTGCCAGCAGCTATACTTGCATGGCATCTAATACTCACTAATTTCCAAAAAATTCTGATATCATATGGGGCTTGAGGACTCATCCCAGAAGTATGAATATGGAGAAGAAACACCCTTGAACTTCTGGGACTGGCAAATCAATGATGTGGATTTTTAATTTTGGCTTTAATGTCCCCTTTTTCTGTGACTAATTAGTGTTCCAGTGAGATACTTCTGTTTTTCAGGCATAGCCCTGAGGTTAAATAGTGCTTGTGTGTGAGGGCTTACAGCATTTCTGATGATGGACAGTGCAGTTAGTTTCATATGTGCTGCCTCTGTCTTATCAATTCTCCTTTTGATCTGAAAACATTGATGTTTCTTCTCAGCCCAAAGTTCACTCTTAATCTTATTAAAAAAAAAAAAAGACTACATTTTGCTTACTATGAAAGGAAACAGTGTTTCTTCCCCAAAATTAATTTGACACTGATTTAATCAGAGATAATTCAGTCCCCTGGCTGATGAAAGCCTAAATTTTCCACATGGTTGCTAATTGCTGAGTAAGCCTATTTTGGTGAAGTCATTTATGCTACAATTTTTCCAGGTTCCTTAGGTGTCTGATTACTTTCAGGGTTATTCAGTCATAAATATGTGAAATTGTTGTTGTTTTATTTTTATTTATTTTATTAATACTTACCTTTCTCTTGGCTACATCCTACTTGGAATGTCTAGAAAAATCACCCTGTTTTTACTGTAAATGCTCCCTGAGAAACACCCAACCTTGCAGTACCCAATAAGTTTCTGAAAGGGCTATCAATAACTTTGTACATGTGTGTTTGTGCATATGCACCTTTTCTCACTACTAATGAAAGCATATTTTTTACCGTTCTTTTCTCTTTAAATTTATAAAAAATATTTAGATGTGTCGCTTATTGAGGCATGTTTCTGGAACTGAGCCCCTTGAGATTACTTGCATACATGCAGAAGATACTTTTCAGGTCACTGGCCCACAGGTATGCTTTATCTTTTATCTGGCCACTTCTACTGGACACAAACAAATAAAAACTACTTATATGACTTCTTTGGAGACTACTGTTGAACTGTTCAAAGCATTTCTAAGAAAAAGTTATACTTCAGTTTTGGGCAGTTGCTAAAAGAATACACACATCAAGCCTGCAAATGTCAGATGAATACACTACAAAGACATAATAGTAGCAGTTTAATTTTGTGTTTTGCCTGTGAAGGCATTTGTGAATTAATGAGCAACACTATGTGCTAGGACTTCCAATAGCAAATATTTTGTTCTCTGTCCAGATAATTTCTGCTGCAGAAACGCTGGCATTACATCCATCTAGCAAGATTGCAAAAGAAAATCTTGAGGTGTTCTGTGAGGCCTGGGAGTCTCAACTGAGCGACATGTCTATGTTGTTAAGAGAAATCAATGATGTGTTTGAAGGAAGAAGAGGTAAGAATGCTATGTAGAAATAGAAAAATGTAGTTTTCAAAACATGTAGTCTAAGAATTTTAAGGGTGATTTAGGAAATACTATCTTCTTAAGAGAAGAGCGCAATAAACAGTCCCACATCCCATATGGCAATGTGGAATCTAGGTGGCAATACACAAATATTTTGGTTTTGTATAGATGTCAAATTAGGGTGCTTATTGGATTTTTTTTCTGAAAAAAAACAGCCAAAAATGTAGAGACCTAATTTGTGTAAAATCAGATGTGTTTAACTTTCTGCACTGTGATTAGTTCCAGCAAAATCAAATGGAACTGTTTAGAGGACACAAAAGTATTCAGCACAGCTCTTTATCAGTGGTGTCCAAATATTAGGGGTGTAGGGCTTTCATCCCACCTTTTTGTTTGTCTAGGACGTATTGGTTCATGACAATCAATATATAACTTGAATTGTGTGACATGTCTAATTAATTTCCTATATTTCTGGAAAAAATATATCTACATATATATATATATATTCTGTACTGCCAGCTTGCCTTGTATTCATTTCATAATGTAGTGAATGTAGTTATTTGATTTTTAAACCGCTGTCCTTTCTCCTGGATGGAATCTCTGATGACTCTGCACAATCTTGGGATATTTTCTCTGGTTGGTAAGTTTATTGGTATTTGTACAACATGTAGAAGAAAACTTTGGAATCCTAAGAAAAAAATTCTATGTTTACTTTCAGCATAGGGTAATTTACCTTAAAAATAGAAGCAATTTTGTTTTTCATTTTTATGTAGCTGAACTTTTTTTTAAGATCATGTTTTTAGTGTAGCCTGTCATACTACTTGCAGCTACATGTTTGTTTCAGTCTTTAAGGTATAATTGCATACAGATAGAATGTAATTTATAATAATATTGAATGTCTTGTATTTTTAAGAAAATCACTCAGGTTTAAAAGCTTAGATTTAGTTAAAAACAGGGACTTCATTTTTTTTTGTATCTAAGATACAGAAAAAGTAAATCCTTATTCAGGTTAGATGACACTTTATCAATGATACAGTACTTCATCTTGCTATTAATGTGAGACCGTTTTTCATTTTAGACTTTTATTTTGTCAGTTTAACTTTCTGTACTTGATCAGGTTTTTGTGTAAGCAGTTCTTTTCTGCCAGTGTTGTTGTGAGGACAGTAAACAACTGACTACAGGGCAGTAATACCTTTAATTTGTTGCTACTGCTAGATGAGCATGTGTCTGAGCCTGAAGACTTGGAAAACATATATTGAAATTCTGTGTGGGTTTACAATAATTGCGTGTAGCACAGGTTATTGGGAATTTGAGGCATTTGAGAAATACATGATTGTTTTCCTACTTGTTCTTCCACCTTGGTCTGGAATGGCATATCAAGATGTGTAGCAATCAGAGATCCTATTTATGGGCCTTTTAACTTTCAGTGGGCTTTTTGTTTGTTTTGGGAGCCAAGGACATAGTGACTGTCTTTAAACATAGCATTAAATTTTATATAATGCAACTTAAAATGTGATATTACTCTAATATTAATGTGTTACAATACATTTGGAATTCACAGGGCTGATCATGCAGTATCTGATTTTTTTTTTCACATTCATAGAATGCGCTAGCAGAGTTGAATGATAACTTTTTTATATGTTTATATATATATATTTGTGTTTATATATATTACTGTTATTTTAAAATAATAGGATAAGAATCATTCAGCCATAGCAAAGCATATACTTGGCTCTCCAAACAAATAGTTCTTGAAGTGTTGCGGCAAATTCCCAGCCTCTCCTGCGGCTGTTGACAGCAGATAACAGATGTTTTCCACAAGTGGTACTTCCCAATTTCTTTAAAGCGTCATTTCACAAGAAGAGAGAAGAGAATGAGTGGGTGTTGCTGAGCATGTTGATGGCTATAGCGTGGGTGGGCCTGGGTTCAGTGACAACTGTCTTCTGTTTGGCATAGCCGGATGAGTCTGTTCTCGTTAGCGTCTCTCGTTTGCTCAGTCTTTCTTTCAGCATAAAGTCTTCCGAGACCACCATTGGTAAGACAGTAAGCGTAGCTTGTATTCTTTGTATGGCCTTGGGTGCATTAGATCTTGTATTGCCAAAACAATGCTTAAGAAATCATGTCTCTGTTTTCCTTGTCTCATGGCCCGGACTAGTGAGGGACTCCTCTCTGAGTCTGGATTGTTTCATATTAACTGTCAGTTATCTCCTTAGAAATAATTTGATCTCCTATAACCACCCATCTTCAACAAACTTTTCCTCTGTATTGTGGGCTAGTCTTTTTTGTTTGCTTGTTTTCTCTTACTGGATTTCAGAGTGACTCTTGTCAAAAAAAAATCCTCCCCCACTTTTTGCTTCCAGAAAATTTCCTTAGGTTACCTTGCCGCTTTCAACAGTTTTTTTTTTCTCCTAGAAAACATGACTGATGACCCAGTAAATAAATTATACTAAAGTATTTGTTTGCTAAGAGATTATGAGTGGCATTCATAAAATCTTTGCCTCCAAACACAATGAAATTTCACAATATTTTATAAGATTTTATTCTTCTTGTAACTCATGATACTTGTCTTAATGTTGAGGTTGGTACAAGTGTCTTTATTTTACCAGACTAAAATGTAACAAGTGCTTTATTCCTAGTAGAATTGTGATTGTGTGTAACAAAAGATAGAATTACAGTAAGAAGGTATATATTTTTTTTTTCGCCTTGGTTTAAAAACTTGTATTTTTGTACTACCAATTTAAATGTTTGGCTTTGTTAAGAGAGTTCAGAGTACAGCTTAAGAGGCAAAAATTGAATGGTGACAAAATGTGCTGGACACATCAAATAAAATAAGCATTTTTCTGATTACACTGGATTCACATTGTTTACACTTGTTTCTTTATTTTTATGAGCAATTGTGTAACTCCTTATCCAGTGCTTCTTTTGTATCAGCAAATTAGGTATTTCTCTTACTGAGGTTCAAAACTCATATGGATAGAGACAGACTTAGCTTGGAAATGGAGCAATATTTTACTCAATTTTAACGTGATTGCACTACATCACACTGAAATTGAAACGGGCTTGTCTTGGAGGAGGGGGCTGCACATGCACCTAGGGGCAGGAGAGGTTGGTAAGCACACCACAGCCCGGTAACCCTCATGTGTCTTTGGAAAACATCCCTGTGCTATGCAGAACTGTACAATGAGGTAGACTTGGCCTTCTTAATCCTAAAATGCTTTTTAATCCAATGATGAGGAGGTCCATTCTGCACAGTGTTGAAGTTTGAAATGTTGTGGGGCTGGGCTGAGGAGAGTGCTGGCCTCCTCTAGGGGGTGGCTCCTGTCAGCTGGGAGATTTGGTTCGGCCCGTGGTGGGATTGGTTTGCTGTCAGAATTCCTAGGTTAGGTTAGATACTTCACTTTGAGGCTCTTGCACTTTGAGATGAATCACCTAACGAAAGTACCTCTCATTGATCCAATCTGTTGAACGTCAGCCAATCTTTTTTTTCTAACTTTATAATTCCAACATGCTGGAGAAGAATGCGAATAATCCTCTGATTGCTCCCCTGTAACTTGGTTAGAAGTGAGAGGATGATTTATGAAGATGACTTTTTTCTGCCCTCCTTTTTTGTTTTGCCTACTTGATTTGAGAGGAGTTAAATGGCCATGAGGATTTGGGAGGGCCTTAGTCGATGAATAGGGGATACAGATCAGAATTTCAGAATTTAAAAATTAGAGTCCTAGAAAGAAGGTTGAAGCGGGGATACAGCCATCCTATTCTTTCAGGTAAGAAGCGAGATCAAAAGCAGGATTTAGAAGTTGAAATAGAGACATTTTGGAGGGAAAAACATGACTGGAACTACTGGAAAGTGGAAAATTTGGAAGACAAAGAGGATGAAATAATAAAAATTCATTGAAATAAGTGAAATGAAATAAAGGAAAAATGTTTTCAAGAAAACACATTAGGAAAAACAAAGGCAGACTTGAATAACTAAAAGGAAGATCATAATATGGTGAAACACCTTTTGCTATTATAGCAAAGATCTGACATACAAACTAAGGAAATTAAATACCTGAAAAAATATGTATGTGTATTCTGTTAATGGAATCTAATAGAAATTCTGTGAATATACTGATGTAACTAAGTATTTTCTGATGAAGTAGGATTATCTCTGGTCTGAGTTGATCTGTGCTTTCTAAAGGTCTGGTATCTGTGTGTCCAATGAGGTGGGGTTTGTGTGTGTGTGTGGTTTTTGGGTTTTTTTGGGTTTTATTAATGTTCCAAGAAATATAGTGAGGTACGTCATCTTTCTGAATATGGTGAGCAGCTAAACCTTGGAAAGCCAAATAAGGGAATTGCTTGAAGAGAAAAACCTCTTTTTTTTAATTTTTTTTATTTTTTTTTTATTTCTGTGTACCACCTCTTTCTGTTTGGTTTCCATAATTCTGAATGCCTACCTTGTGTGTGCAAGTAGTATGTCCTTTCAGTATGTATTTGTATTCCATTTGTTATGTCAACGCTTGCTGGTTTTGAACTTTTTTTTTAACATGCCACAACAGGTTTTTACGTAGCCCCAAGGAGATCTTTTATGCTACAGCATTTTCAACTTACAAGTTAGCTTTTGTTCTTGGTACATCTTACATGCTTTCTTACACGCCCTTTAGTTGATGTTTTGATGCATAGGATGTTGTAAATCACTTCTTGAAATTTGTATCAGTCTTCAGTGAGAAATATTGCTTGGATGCATGTTTGGGCAATTAATATCTGAATAACTCTGCACTCTGAAAAAAATAGCTAGGCAGCTTGTGCCCTGATAGCTCATTTCATCTTTTGCAAAACTGGGTAGGGGACGGAACAGGTGATCTTAGAAGGGAAGAACTACATTTTTCATGCTTATCAAGAGGGTTGAGGGACACTTGTCAACTGACTGAAATTTGTTTTTTAGGAGTCAGTTGCCTAGACACAGAGCTCGTGATCTTTCTGTGGTGTCAGGCGATAAAGAGCATAGTTGCAAAAAATCATGAATGCACAAGAGAACTGTCTTCTGAGGACTCAGGATGGAATTTCTCAGGCAGCTGGTACAAGAGGAGGAAATAGCAGTTGTAGGGGGGTTTGTTTCTTGTCCTTTGCCTGTCGAGATGCATCATCTCTATGCAAACCTGGTACTGATACCCATTGTAGTGGTCCTTCATTTCTTCAAGTAAAATCTATTTTTTACTAGCTCTTAAGTTTGTTACTTAATTTTATTTAGCAGACTTTCTTCTCTTGAATCTATTGTAATAAATGTAAGTCTTCAATTAAGTCTTCTGGTAACTGGAGCTCTAATCCTAGGCTGTTAGCCCAGGCACTGTTTGTCTTGCTGATAAACTCTTCTTATTCACTTTTAGGTAACACCTGAAAGGATATATTTTTTTTTCCATTTGTTTTGCTCAGACTTCGAATATCTGAGGCTCCTGGGGATATAATAAATAATTCAATAAGTGTGTAAATTGCTATAGAACTTTTTTCTTTATAAAATACAGTGCACAGGGGACACACATAGTACAGTACAATGTGAGGGGTTTATTGGCATTACTTAGAAATACCTAGGCAGGTTTTCTCACTAGTGGCATTGCCTGCTCCAAACTTTAGATCATCCAGCCCATACCAGGAAAAGCCTTAGGTGGAACTGCCATTGCATGTTCTGTACTTTGCAACAAAATGGGTGCATGTAGCAATAACTACTCAGTCATTGGAGAGAGTTTCTTTACTTGCTTGTGGATTGTATGCAGGGGACTAGAAATCTTACTGAGGGAAACTGTTCAGAGGAGCTTTCCCAACTCCCAGTTGCTGAGAGCTAAAATCTGAACAGTACAGAGTTCTTGGCTTATCTCTCTCTGGAAGCCTGAGACAGAGAGGGGATCCTCTGCAATATTCAAAGAGGAGGAATTACAGGTAAGTAACTTGCTTTTATAGTACTGAAACTTAAGGAAGGATGAAGTCAGTCATGTGATCCCATTGATTAAAATGTGCATACAAATTTTGGTATAAATGTGTGTGTTCTTCATAGGAGAGAAGCGTGTCTACCTATCACTGCCCAGACCAGGGGTAAGTTGCTTTTCAGATTGTTGTGTTTACTTTATATCTGCTGTTAACTAGGTGACTTCTTTCCATGTTACACCTTGATGAGGACATAGCAATATCTTGATAACATGCATCCTGACTGGATGGCTGACAGTAAAATACCAAACTTTGTTATTCATTTAATAAATTGACAAGCATACTGAAAACTAGGGTAACTAGTTACCTAATATGCTTTAATCACTTTGGTTGTACATGAGTTTTAATTCCTGTTCGTTAATATGACATTTTTTACCATGTACTTGACTGTTGTGCTATATAATAGAAAACGCATTGCAACTATTAAAACGGTAAGAATACACTGCAACATACTGAAAATAAGTCTTAGTAATCTGATTTTTTTTTTTTTAACGTCGTTGCCTGAGTTGACCTGCTCAGAACAAATGATGTGTTTGAACCTGTTGTAGGCTCCTCAAATAATTGGGCTCTTGTTTCCTTCTTTGATCTTAATTTTTTTGAATGCAGAGAAAAAAGGTACACCAAAAATCCAGGTTTAGTTGTGAGGTAATTAATATCCTTAGATGATTATAATTGATATTACATTGTTTATGAGAGCACCTCTGTGTTAGGAAACATCCTAAACCTTGATAGTATCTGTAAACAGTCATTTGATTCGCTTGCTACATACTGAATCTTTTCACGGGTAGGAAAAAGGGGAAGAATGACCTCAGAAGATACTGTAAGCTCTAGCTTGTTTCTTTCTCTCCTTGCTTTCTTTCCTTAACCTGTAGTGTTGAGGAGTTTGGGTGTGAAATGATCCCCTGTCTCCAGGGGTTCCTGCACTTGGGTGATAACAACCCCATGCAATGCTACAGGCTTGGGGAAGAGTGACTGGAAAGCTGCCCAGCAGAAAAGGACCCGAGGGTGTTGGTTGACAGTTGGCTGAATATGAGCTGGCAGTGCACCCAGGTAGCGAAGAAGGCCAAGAGCATCCTGGCTTGTATTGGACGTAGTGTGGCCAGCAGGACCAGGAAAGTGATCGTCGTCCTGTACTCGGCACTGGTGAGGCCACACCTTGAATACTGTGTTCAGTTTTGGGCCCCTCGCTACAGGAAGGACATTGAGTTGCTGGAGAAGGGCGGAAGGGCTGGAGAATGTCCAGAGAAGGGCAACAAAGCTGGTGAGGGGTCTGGAGCACAAGTTTGATGAGGAGCAGCTGAGGGAACTGGGGTTGTTTAGCCTGGAGGAGGCTGAGGCGAGACCTTATCGCCCTCTACAACTGCCTGACAGGAGGGTGTAGTGAGGCGAGTTTTGGTCTCTTCTCCCAGGTAACGGGCAATAGGACAAGAGACAATGGCCTCAAGTTGCACCAAGGCAGATTTAGGTTAGACGTTAGGAAAAATTTCCTCACTGAAAGAGTTGTCAAGCATTGGAACGGGCTGCCCAGGGAAGTGGTTGAGTCCCCATCCCTGGAGGTATTTAAAAGATGGGTAGATGAGGTGCTTAGGGACATGGTTTAGTGGTGGACTTGGCAGTGTTAGGTTTACAGTTGGGCTTGACGATCTTAAAGGTCTTTTCTAACTTAAACTATTCTACGGTTCTATGATTCTATGTCTTCCATTGTAAAATTCTGTGGCTTCAAACACAATATGCTACTTCTGACCCTTAATGAAAAGAGAGAAGGTCATACATTATAAATCCGATCTGCAGATATAAGTAGCATATAATGCTAGGCTGGGTGAGCATGGGTGAATTTCATGGTTACGGAACTAGATATTGAGGTTGGAAAATAGATTGGTTCAGTGGCTTTTGATAGGGTTTTTGCCCCTCGACAGTTTGACTAAGCTATATAGCTTCTGGACTTCAGCCAAAATGTAGGGAAGAGATGTCTGAAGTCCGATTCTCACTTACTGATTTGTACGCCTTTTAAAAATACTTCCAATAAAAACTTTGTTCCCAGGTGTTAAACAGTTCTGCTTTGTTATTGTTTGAAAGGTTGCTGCCTTCTTTTGAATTTTGCAAGATGCATAGATTTGGAGGAGTTCTGATTAATACATCTCTCAATATAATATAGCTTTTTATGTATATATATATATGTAATAAAATAATAATATAAAGGTTTGGAAGTAGACAGGAAATGTAGATTACATCCCTAAGACAACAGAGTTTCTTCACAGAGTTTTTTCTTTGCCTAACTGATGCACTAGCTTTTGGAACTGCCTGTCTTCCCTGTGCCATGACTCTCAGTACTGCCTCTTCTCTCCCTACTGCCATCACAGAGGTCTGCTGTGCCTGCACAGAAGCCACACTGTTCCTGTCGATCTAATTAGATTACGTATTTTGTTACATCTGTTCAATTGTGACTGTGCTATTTGCTGGTAGTGAGTGGCATCCTAGACCATGCCATAGTTGAGGACAGAGCAGTAGTGATGATTCATGTCTGTGCTTAATGCACAGGTACAGTTTTCTCTATAAGGTGTCAAGTCATGTTTTGAAAGCAGAATAACTGCTTATCTGATTTTTACCAGTTCTCCTATTCAAATAGTGTGAGTGAACACTAGAATGGAGAAAACTACCAATCTGACAGACATTCTGAGGTTTCCTTACTTATTTGTGGATAGAAAAACTTACCTGTGCTGGAGTGCTGGTTTTCTTGAATACCGTTCACTGAGCAGCTTAAATATTTGCTATACCTTGTAGCCCAAAGTTTGTGTTTACATACAAACCTGGTTTGGCTTTGTGTTCCTTTCTTCTAAGACTCTGCCTTAAAACCAACGTTTCTTGAATTGCATCTCTAATATGCCATGTGGTCAAACTTAAATGACAATTAGGAGTTGCAGTTCTTACACTTTTTGCTAAATCTTTTGATACGAGGTCAGCATTTCTAATACATAGGCAGAATTACAGTGTCTAATCTGGGTAGACATTCATAAGATTCAGAATACTTTAAAATTTCGGGATAGGAAAAGAGAAGTGCCATGAAAGCTAAACTGAGCAGCAAACAGCAGTAGTAACTTCAATAGTAGTACTTTACTTTCACTCAAACTCTTGAAGTGAGAAATGGAGACTGTACCTGGAGCTTATTTCTGATGCTGTTCACAATGAATAGTGTGCTTTTTTTTTCCCCCGCAGGCATTACTGAGCTTAATTTGCCCAAGTACTCCCACTAATGAATAGCAGCTCTTTTCAGATTCTCAGACAAGGATCTCAGTCCTGCACTCTTATCATCCAACTTCCTCCAGTGGCTCACACCCCTCCAAGTTACGACACCAATTTTGTACTTGCCATTCCTCCGCACTCCAGTGGAGTTTCTGAATGTGGACTGCGGCTCTTCTGTCTGTTACTTTTTGCTGTCTTTGCACAGTGACAGCACCAGCACGTGAAGTTAATGCCAGGAACTGCTGCTCTCTACGTGCAAATTGATTTGAAACAAATAACATATTACCGTATATATGTGTTACACAGTTGGCAAGCTCTGCCTTATCAGATAGTGCACTCACATCACTACCACTAATTGTTTAATCTGAGCCAATATTTGGCTTGCAGCCAGACTGGTATTTCAGATAGTTCATGACTTAAATAAAACAAGGAAACCCATGAAAAGATCAAAGTGTCAGTATTTGCTTCCAGCTACTTCAACAAAGTGACACTGAATAATGAGCTACGTTGTCACAGTAGCATTTACATGGGTTGTACCCTAGATCAGCTTGCTACTAGCTAAATCAACTTCCAAGTCCCTGTTACATCAGTATCATCTTTGATGGAAAAATCAGTGCAGTAGTACTCGATTAAGACTATTTAGTCCTAAGTAAGCATTACTGAGGATTTAGAGGGTAAGGGGAAGGTGCTGCAAGAGGGAGTGAAGTCTGAGAACTGTGGAAGAGGTCTTCCCCTTGAAACTCAGGGGTGTCTGTAGACACAGACCCTGTTTGCGCGTGCCATTTCAGGAGGCCAGCCAGATCAGAACAGGTTCTCAGCTTCTACTGAGAAGTTTGTCTGAACCACTGGAACTCTCCTGCAAAGTCTGCCTCTGAGTATAGAACCACCTCTTATGATTTGTTAGTAAAATGATTACTAATTTCTTTTATTTAAAAATATTATTTTTTTGTTTGAAACAGAAGCATAATGCAAATCTGAAAGCATTAAAGCCAGTCAAACTAGATACTGAGGTAAGATGCCATCATTTCAGTAAAAAAACTTGTAAAATGTTTTTTTATCTTGTCTGAAGAATATATTTTCAAGTGCCATAAATATGGTTACCGTTTACAGGAACAAGCAAAAATTGCAAAACTTGGATTAGAATTGCATCTCCTCACATCTGATGTGGATTCTGAGACTGAGAGATGGGAGGACCAGGAGAATGAGATCGTGCAACATGGACAAGGCATGTCAAGTATGGCCTACTCCATGTATTTATTTACCAGGTAATTACACTGTGTGCAGCATGTTTTCATGGGAAGAAGAGCATTAGCAGTGTTTATAAGAAATAAGACAATTTCATTTTCAGAGTGTAATAATTAGGACACATTCAGAAAGAAGCTTTAGTTTCTATCCTTAAGTTTTAGAAATTCTTAATTTCTAAGCTGTTTAATAATAAAATTGGGGGGGGGGTTAAGTGCTAAACATCTGTTTTGTTGCAGAACAGCTATTTAAATATCTCTTGGGCACAGAAAACATTTTAAGAAGCACGTTCATAAATACTTTCCAAAAAAAGTGAATTAAAGCACAGATATATAACTGTAGATTATAATCACTGATCTTCGCTCTACTGAAAGGTGTTCTTCTGAAACTTGCCCATGCAATGTCAGCTTTCTTTATTTGAAGAATTTAGGATTTTTTTTATAAGAGTTGACACTTTTTCTTACCTACTAGTCCAATAATACTCAGTGTGCCAGAGACATGGATGTCTGTCCTTGTTCACCTGATTTGAACTGAACCACTGCTAATGTCCCAATAGTGCTGTAGCCACTGAGGTGTTTATGAAATATTTTGAAATGCAGTTCCTATAGTAAGTTACTGTTGTGCATGGTATCTTCTAAAAGAGTGGTAATTTACAGTTCAGTGGTGTGAATGGGAGTGAGAGAGAGATACTATGAATTGTGCAAGTAGCAGGCAAAGTAATCTGCAGTCTATACCATGGCATATATTCTGCTTTCATTATTTCCCACAGAGGAGAAGGACTTCTGAAAACTACTCAAGATCTATTTCATCAAGCAGAGGTAATATATTTTTAACAAAATAGGAATTAGGCACTCTGAGTGAAGAACAAATTGAAACTCAACTCTGATTTCTTACACATAAGTACAGTGTACCATGAATTGACTGGCAACTGTAAATTTTAAGCAGCCTAACTCTGGTACATACTTTCTGAAAGCCAACTTTTAGGTGTTGCAGTAGTAGCTTAAGGCAGCGTTCATTAAACAGGCAGATTCCAGTTACAAGTAAGAATAGCAAACTGGCATTATGGCATGAGGGACTTCAGTGCATTAGTAGTATTCATTGCGTCACTTAGCTCAGTCCCTGACAGTGTTAATGGGTACTCTGTCCTCGTCTGAGCAGCAGTATTTTCATGGGAAAGAAAGAAGATGTAAAAATTTGAATAATACAAAAAAAAGGCAAGGGGCCAAATGAAGGAATGCGGCGTGGTATTTCCAAGATACATGCCTGTGTTCAACAGGAGACTGGATACCTTTGTCAGGATAATAAACAAACGCAGCAGGTGTCACCTACCCACAAAACCCTTGTGAGCTCCTACAGTGCAAAAAATAATTGGAAGTCAGGGGTTTTTTATGTAAAGGGAAAGCCTTTAAACTTTGCTTATCTGGGAGAATGGCAATTTGTAGCGTAGCTTGTTACTTCAGAAGTCACTGCAAACTGCTGACTTGTATACATTTATAATTAACAGCTATCACACATATTTCCTACTACCTTTTTACTTTACAGCACACTATTTATTAGAAGAGCAAGGAAAAAGAGCCTCATCTTTCATTGTGGTTCATTTTGTTACACGCTTTCTCCCCCTTTCAGATTTTTGCCACAGAGGGCACAAAGCTTGCTTCGGCTCTTCATGCCTTTTCTGATCAGGTGATGTATGACCTCTAAAACAGCCATTCAGCTTAGTGTGCTGCTTAAAAGCTGGTTGTGCTGTCTCCTCCATTAACTTAATATCCAAGCCTTTAACACAGAGTGGTTTTGTCTTCCTGAAACGCATTTCAGGTACACGATGATGACAAGGCTTTGCTTCTGTTGGAGGCTGAAAAACTGATCTCTATGTGCAAGCAGCTCCAGACAACAGCTAAAGCTTCTGTTCAGGGTAAAAGTGCTACATTTACAAAGGTAAGGTAAAAATGATATATACATTCCTGAAAGTAAGACCTAACTTGTTTTGAAATATAGTGACTTAATAATTTATGCTCCTGTTAAAACATGAAACAGTTCATGACAGCTGAACTTCTTGGATTGACAGAGGACCATAAAAATTAATACGTACAAAATTTTATGCTGTTGTGCAAGCATTTTTCTGCTGTGCAGTATGTCATCGTTGCTGTTTATGTAGAGGAGGAATTTACTTCCACTTGAAGGACTGTTTTGCACCTAGCATGTTTTGAGAAGCCGATGTGCAAAGTTTAGAGGAAGAACCGTAAGAACTTGTTCTCCTTGCTGAAAAATGTTTTGTCCATTGGGACATCCCTCACTGATAACTGTAATCCAAGCCATTTACTGCACTATCTTGTCTCAGGAAGGGATTTTCTTCAGCATGGGTGCTATGGTTTTCTAGCCTTTTAAAA